CACCAGCCTCACAGGAAGAAGAGGAACACAGATCACAAGAAAAAAATAAAACCAAGCGATCTTTACACCGGACTATAAGTGCTGTTTATAATCTAGTTAAAAATGTTATTTACACTTTTACCACGACCAAATTGTCTTGCAACGTATTCCCTGTTCCTTTTGAGTGCAGCTATCTCTATCATAGATCTACGCTTACTGGCTCCCCTCTCCAATACAAAGAATAGGAGAGCCTTTGGGCGCATGGGTACAGCGACCGTGAAGACACTCAGAAGACTGGCAGGGCAGAGTCTCAGCTCAGGTCTGGAAATTCTCCCCACTGTTGTAGAGCAGCTGAAGACACCGCGTGGAGTTTTTTTTTTATTGTGAAGAACCAGAAAATGGTGGAACGTGGCATCAGAGTCTTATAAACACTCCAGCAGGTAAAGTAAAAGCACAAGAACCTGCTCAGTGTTATGTTGGGCCATTGGATTACATGAAGCAAGTGTTTTGTCACGATAACATGGCTAATGGCAAAGGTAAGACTGAATTTACGCTTTTGACTTCATGAAACAAACTTGGTTTATTTTGCTGCTGAGTTTTGCTAGTAGAGTAATGGTACTTATTAGGGATGTGCCGATACGACTTTTTTCACTTCCGATACGATATCGATATGGCAGCCTTCAGAACTGATCGATACCGATATCAATTCGATATGACATTAGAACACATCGTACCTACTTTTACCTATTTCATGGTGTGGAACGTATAAAAGGCTTGATTAATTGATTTTACTCAAACGGAAACAAAAGCCAGCAACAGGAAGTGTAAAAAAACTGACCATTTTTTATTAACCTTTGGCTGCATAAATGTGAACAGCTGAGGTTAGGAACATAAGGGAAAAAACAATATTGTTCACTGACCAACTGCTACAAGCTGAGTGTCTAAAGTTTCAATTTCACACACTGTGAAAATCCTCATGCAATGTTTTGTGATCCTGCTTCTAATGCGCAATGTGGTTGGACGTATTAATCTTCCCTGGTTTTGTTCCACCACGGGAAACTTGTGCATGACAAGTGTTGCACTGAGCCAAACTGTCTTTTTCGGACACTAACGAAAAATACAGCCACATTGCCGACATTGTTCCTTGCTACTTTGCTAGCATGCAATGCTACGATATCGATATGGCAGCCTTCATCATGTGGACTTTGCATGCTGGATAGGTTTGCTGAAATGGAATTATAAAGCGGAACGTCTGAGATTTTAAATGCAGTCCGATATCCGATAGTGGTTTTGGGCTGATATCCAATACCTATATCGGAACGGGACATCCCTAATACTTATATTGTTGTAAAGAGGAGCATCTGGGCTTTAATTTCAACGGCTGCCTCTGGTGGAAAGCATCATATGCATTGTTGCTACTGTGTGGTGTTCTCAGTGCGTGTATTTAGCTTATTTTCAGGCCTTTTATTTAGTGTCATTGTTGAGGTAGAAAAGGTGGATTTTATCATAAGAATGGTAATTTGGCATCCACTAGTGGTGATATGTGGTTAGTGCATTAGACGCCTAACAGCTGCAGCCCACCCAAAAAATCATTCACCGGCAACCACTGGTCTGAAGTCAGTTTTGTCCTCTCATTGGTGGAATCATCCCATTCCAACCGTTTCCTAACTGCTACTACTGCTTCAAGACCGAGACCGAGACCTCAGGAAGAATAGCTCCACACTATGGTGTGAGCTAATGAGGTTCTCAATAAATAAATAAAAATAAATAAAACTGTGGGTTTACATGTGGAGTGAAGTGACATCAAATGAGACGATGGTTTCCCCTAGAGCCAGTTTGAGATCTTGGACTTTCCTAGCAAAATCCACGATATTCTGTATGTGATGTTGGGTCTTTCCAACCAGCGGTGCCAGGATGGTGGAGAGATGTTTTGCAGTGTACTATGTGACCGAGTCGATGCTTCTGACTATGGGTCTGAGTGGTATTCCTTCCTTGTGAGTCTTTAGAAGACCATATACTACCAAAACTGAACTTCATGTTAATCATACTTCAAACTAATGTCCTAAGTCCCCCCTGCTTACAGCACCTGTGCTCTTTTCACCTCTGTTGTAAAACATCTGGCAGCTTTCAAAATAAAAGTCGCATCTGAAACACTCTCTCTAATATGGGAGCTCGAGGGCATGGGCGTCGCAGCCATGGGGGATGTGGGGGTTTCAGCACCCACACTTTTCTTGTTGAGATTGTTCAACACCCTCACTTTTCCAGTCGTTTTGCTCACCTCCACACCAGTCTGGTTTCTCTACGTCACACTCTGTTTGCCTCATCTCCTTCACCTCCCTCTTCTGACAGCCGATGTCGGGTTTCCAGGAGAGCAGGAGAGGGAGGGACGGAAGAGCTCGACTGAATTCATAATTTTACATCTTGACATTAGCTGTACAAAGTCTGAGTTTGATCAAGTGAAGAACAACAATTTGCAGAGGTTTATAACAGGCGCGGCGCCAGGTTTTCATTTTTGGGTGGGCCACGGTAATTTTGGGCGGACCTTAATAAGCAGTGACTTAGTGAAGCAGGCAGGTCGCGCTAGAAAATTTAGTTTAAAAAGACGTCATAAACGTGTTCCCCCGTCATTTTTATTTCTAAAATATGAAGTAAAAACTCCCAATTTAATTTTCATTCATTTGTCATTCATATGTAGTCTACACCCGTGCGTTAAGCGGACCGGCACCAGAATGCGTTACCTGCACTTCTAATATTTACCTCTCAACGTAGGACTCTTTCATAAGGGTACATGCACACCGGTAGTTTTTACGGTTATTCATGGGGCAAAATCTCCGACATTTTTGAAACAAAAAAGAAATCCGTCTTCCAGTAAAAGCAAAGCATCCAGCCCACCTCTCCAAATGCGTGAAATGTGCATCACAGCCGCTAGGCGCGTGTCAGCTACGTCAGCCCAGACAAGAGCAGAGCAACTAGAGAAAGAATAGAGGATAATTGTGTCTGGATGTGGATGGAGATTACATTTTACATCAGCCTGATCATCATTTAAATACGTAACCCATCACCTGGCTTCTAGTCCACGCTATCAGCATTATTTTAATTGGTGTGTGAGCGTTTGTGTTTGTGTCAACACATTCTCACACCCAACGTGTCAAAATGTGACGCGTGTGACCAAGCCTCAATATATGACGATTCGGGACGCCCCAGCGCGTCAGGAGGCTACGATCAGGGACACGCTGGGTCACACGGACATTATTCGACTATTTAACCTTCCCCTCACCCCAATCCTAACCTTAAGGTCAGTAACTGTGACCTTAAGGTTAGGATTGGGGTGAGGGGAAGGTTAAGTAGTTCACAAGTCGTTCTAATGTCCGTCTCACCACTGGCGTTGGATACCGACGCTCTGGGACGCTGCGGCATAAGTGTGTCCCTGATCGTCATCTCCTGACACGCTGGGGCGTCCCGAATCGTCATATATTGAGGCTTGGTCACACGTGTCATATTTTGACGCCTTGGGTGTGAGAATGTGTGTGTGTGTGTGTGAGAATGTGTGTGTGTGTGTGTGTGTGTGTGTGTGTGTGTGTGTGTGTGTGTGTGTGTGTGTGTGTGTGTGTGTGTGTGTGTGTGTGTGTGTGTGTGTGTGTGTGTGTGTGTGTGTGTGTGTGTGTGTGTGTGTGTGTGTGTGTGTGTGTGTGTGTGTGTGTGTTTCACTTCAAATACTGGTCTAACCAACCAGACCAGCGTGTCCAGTAACATATTAATGTTACAATTAAACAGTCTCACTTTATGTAGGCTAGGAACGTTTCACCTGCCGTGGCCCGACCGCTTCTGCTCCACATAAACTTTGTGCGTGATCAAATGTCTCTACAGGTGCTTTCTGAGCTGAAGAGGCGATTCTGCCTCAGACTGGATGCGTCATGCGTCTCCATATTAGAGACGGGAACAAGCGCTATTCAGCCAAAGTTTCATAATCAGAGAACATTTCTCCAGGTGACACATCCCTCAGAGAGACCGGCTTTCCAGACCGCTTCAGTGGGAGGAAATCTTACCGCATGCGCCGTGGTTCTGCACTGCGCTGCAAACCCCTCTACAGATCTTCAGCCCACTGTCCAGCGTGTGCACTCCGATCCGCGCTGAGCACAGTGTCCAGTATAAAGCTCTGATGTTCTGATGGGAATCATTTATTGATTGATTTAGTTACCTCTGCGATGTGCGTAACGATTAAAATGTCAGCTCATCTGCGTGCGCATCAGTGTGCGTCGGGGTAATTCTTTCAAAACAACCAACATCCTTGAGTTTATCCATCAAAATAAACAAATGGAAATATCTGTAACCTGCCATTTAACTGTTTTACCTTCTTGTGAAGATTGTTGCAAAGAGAAACAACTAAACTTGATTAACCCCAGTGCCACGCGCACTGCGCTGTACTGACTGTAAATGAGGGGGAAACGATTTAATTGGATCCTTTTCAGCATGGTTTAATATAAAGTTTCATTCAGTACAAACTTTAGTTACACCAGTCTAACGAGACAGAGCCTGGATTTGTATTCTGAACAGTTTAAACATGGAAATTACACTAACAAGATGAATAACATGAAATTATCTTAGGCACAGACAACGTCCCCCACACTTTTGAAAAGCTTGCAGCGCGCCTGCTCGTGGGCATCTATTACGTTACACACCACGTACGCCTCCAGTGAAAAGCTGTGTAACCCTAAACCGCTAAGTCAGATGTTTCTTAACTAAACAAATCTGATTGGTTTGGATCAGATGTCTGTTAGTTACCATAAAATAAAAGTCAAATCGGCTCTAGTAAAACTTCTACATGGAAGATCCGTTGTTGTTAGCGTGATGTAGCGCTAATGTTTTAGCCTTTATTAGGATTGGAATGACAAATCTGTTCTTGTTTAGAGTCTTTTCCCGCATCTCTTCTCTCTGTTTGGGTCTCTGTTTACATCCACAACCAGTCGGCTGCTTCTGTATGCGACTTTCCACCAGATTGATGAATGTTGCTGTTTGTTTAGGACCTGGAGCTGCTCCCGGACGGAGACCAGACTCTGATCGGGGACCGAGGAGCTACGCTCAGCGGGGGGCAGAAAGCTCGAGTCAACCTGGCCAGGTGAGGGCTCTGCAGCGTATCAGGTAGACCGTTGGTGTTTGGTTTGTTGCTCCTGGAGGTTAAAGTTCACATCTTGTGTAAGTTTGGACTCGGCTCTTTGATTTGATTGAGATTTATGTTTTTATGAATGTTTGAAGGAGTAAACCTGCGGACCTGGCCGTCTGCCTTCAGCTTTAGTGTCCCGTCAGAGCACCGGCGGGTTTTCAGGTTACCGTCGGTAAATGAATAAAGGGAGAGGGTGGAACTGTCTGTACACCCTGGACAGAGAGCCAGTCCATCGCAGGGCAACACAGAGACACACAGGACAAACAATCACACACACACTCACAGCTAAGGACAATTTAGACAGACCAGTCAACCTAACAGTCATGTTTTTGGACTGTGGGAGGAAGCCGGAGTACCCGGAGGGAACCCACGCATGCACAGGGAGAACATGCAAACTCCATGCAGAAAGACCCCAGGCTGGGAAGCGAACCCAGGACCTTCTTGCTACAAGGCAACAGCTCTAACCACTGCGCAGCCCTTTTTTCTGTTATATTTAAAGAGCAAGTCACCCGCTACCAGAGTTTTACTCCACTCCCACTTCCTGTTTGAAAAATGCAACAAATGCTGTTGCCTAGCAGGCCGAGAGGGCAGAGCCGCTAACAAATACACACACACACACACACACACACACACACACACACACACACACACACACACACGCACACACACACACACAGGCACACAATGACATTGTGACATCATATGGTACCAGGTAACGTTCTAGGGTAGCTGTTAGCCAATAGCGATGGCAGATTTAAATTCAAATGCAGTGCAGAGTTTTTACCTGACAACGGCACAACACTGACAGTTTTAGGCAGAAAATTAAAATTGTAACTAAAAAGCACTAAAGTGCAAAACTGTTGACTACACGTGTCTGCAGCACGATTAGACACACATTTATATAGTTTATCAGGGAAAATAAGTTGATTTGGGGGTGACTTGCTCTTTAACGTCAAAAATGTATCAACAAAAAGATCCAAAAATTGTCTGCTGTGTTTTAAAAGCCTCAAATTTTTATTGTAAACAGTAAACCCAGATGTCCGTATAATCGTACCGCTTTTATTAATATGAAACACATTTTAATAAACATCTGAGTTTTTTTACTAGGAAACTTTAAGACTTTTATTTAGAAAATGCCGACTCTTTTATTTTAAGGTTAAGTCTCATAAATAAAAAGATTTAGCTAATTTTCATCATCTGAGAATATATGTGTTGTTACATAAATATAAATGAAGTTATTCTTGTTTTTTACTCTGACACAAAGCAGCCTGAAGCTCCACAGTTAGAAGCTGAAATAAGGATATGTAACTTTTCAGAGCGGTGTACCAGGACGCAGACGTCTACCTCCTGGACGATCCTCTAAGTGCCGTGGACGCCGAGGTGGGGAGACACCTCTTTGAACAGTGAGTGGCTTTAGTTTGTCTCCATCCTCATCATCTCACCGAAGTTCTTAGAAAGCCCGGAGAACAGGAAGTTCCCTGATGCTCCCTGAGCAGGGCAGCGTTGTGTTGAGCGTTACGATCGGATCAGATCGCCTCCCGAGTCGCATCGCAGCTGGAGGAAGCTCCTGTGAGGGTCAGGGTAGAGATCTGTCTCCATGATTCATTTAAATGGTGGTTTACAACTGATCCAAAGTCACCGTTGGATGTTTTAACCCAAAATGAGTCTTTCTGTTTAGTTATGTTAATTTCATTTATGTGGCACAAACCTCTCGCCCCCACAGTTGGTCAGCCGGTTATTAGTCGTGAGCTCCTGCGTTCAGTGGTTACAGAGTTATGAATTATCTTTCATTCACGTTATAACGGCGCATTATTGAGGTGAATAAATATGGGTAGAGTTGAAATGCAGATGTTTGATTAATGAAGACGGAAGAACAGGATAGACTTTATTGATCCACAGTGAGGAAATTCATTTGTTACAGCAGCACCAACACATTAGAGAATAATTTGAAGGAAAATAACAAAAGTACATGTAAATACACACATAGGCACTAATCTAGTATTGTAGCCTTCCACCACTAAAAAACCATGAATAAAAATGAAAGGAAAACTTGGGTTCCAACACTATGCAGCATACTGCAACGTAAATCTTGTATTGCACAAGTATTGAACAAAAACTGAATCATGTATTGGTGTTATTGTGTAACAGGATCATGCCAGTACAGCTTAAACTGAGGAGTTATACACTCTTACTGCAGAGGGGAGGAATGACCTATGGTAACGTTCTGTTTTACATCTGAGATGTCTCAGTCTGTCTCTGAAGGAGCTGTCCATGGTCTCCACAGTGGAATGCAGTGGGTGGGAGGGTTTTTTAAGATGGAGGTCACCTTCCTCAGCATCCTCCTTTCACACGTCTCCTCAACCGAATCCAGTGGGCAGCTCAGAACCGAGCTAGCTTTATTAGCTAGCTTGTTCAGTCTCTTCCTGTTTTGGTCAGAGCTGCCTGCACCCCAACAGACCACAAGCAGTGTGGATAACAGATCCAACCACAGAGTGATAAAAAGATTTTAGCAGCTGGGAATTAACGTTGAAGGACCTCAGCCTCCTCAGGAGGTGGAGGCGGCTTTGGCCCTTCCTATACAGAGCATCAGTGTTGTTGAACCAGTTCAGTTTGCTGTTAAGGTGAACACCCAGGTACTTGAAGGTATCCACCACCTCAGTGTCTGCTCCCTGGATGTTTACTGGTGAGTGAGGAGTGTTTCTCTGGAAGTCAAACACCATTTCCTTTGTCTTACTGGTGTTCAAGTGACGATGGTTAAGCTCACACCAGTCAACAGAGTCCATGATGACTGACTTGTACTCCTGGGGTCTCATTTATCAAACACTGCGTAGAATCCTTACTAAAACCGGACTTAAGCTCACCAAAAAAATGTACTTGCACCAAGTAGGTTTGTGTTCTATCAAACATGGAGTACGCACAGCTGCACGCAATCTCCGCTTTACAAATCGGAGACTAACGAGAATGTTTCTCAGCTGCTTTTTAGTCACATCCTGCCCTCACCACGCCCACTTACAGTCTTTGTGTTGGGACGATATTTTCTACACAGAAATTCACATAGTCAGTGACACAGTGGGTTAGATTGTCATGGTCATCACCACAAGCGCTGCAGAGTGTCTCCCAGTCTGTGGTTTGGAAACAGTCCCTCAGCCTTTCTGTTGCTTCCTCAGTCCACACTTTAACGATTTTTTTTTCTGAGGAGGCTCCCTGATCACCCTGGGTGTGACAACATCTCCACCTGGGTGTGTATCCAGGGTTCAGGTGAATGAGGTAGTGGTCCAAAGCAGAATTTGGAGGAAATAAAATCTGATTTCACAGGGCTCTACTTTTGTGCCACGTCTTCGTGATCTTGTTCCTGCGGTCGTTACCTAAAGCTCATGACCAGGGTTGGGATGAAGATCGACTGGTAACTTGAGAAATTTGCTTTCTTTCGTGTTGGATGATTGGACAAAATTATTAACTGTAGACAATAGGCCAAGCCCTTTGCTGTTTTTTATGAGCAAAATTTTTCATGCCTAATTTCACGGACGGGACATTACAAATGTTCTTATTAAATCAGCGTATTTTTTGCAACTCTACCTACATATATATATATATATATATATACTATACATTATTAGAAAGCTAGGATTCTTGTGATTCAAATGATGTATACTAATCAAAGATTCAACCATAACTATAGACAGTAAATGCTTTTGTCAAACACAAATTCAAATTAGCATCCAACTCACCGTTTGAAGCTTTATATCGCTGACCGAGTAGAGCCATCTCAGACAAAAACTAAGAAAATCGTCTTTAGACAAAAAGTCTTGCTTTACCTAAATACACACACACACAACACAACATAACATAACATCAAAACATTTCAAATTTCCTTCAGGGGAGCTTCTTTCTTTACAAGTTTTAATTATAACCTCCTTTAGCATTCTCCCATTAGCCTCAAACATGTGATCGCCTAGCCTGGCAGCCCGGCCCACAGACAGAACTCATTGGTGGGGAAGGATCTACGGTTGTCTTTTAAACCGTCTCTGCACGCCATTGGATTACGAACAGCGGGATGTACTCATTGCTACGGATCTCAGTTAAATGGTCAGTCCACCATAAACTGTCGATGAAGATACAAGTACGTCCTTTTTCTAAATAGAGGTCTGAAGTACCTCAATCTGCTCTTGACTAAAAGAAAAGACCATGTTTTAATAGTCCAAAGTTGATGCCAATGCTGTTTCAAACGAGCCACCGCCATTTTTGTTGTTTTTCCTCTGTTGTATCATCCCACCCATTAGTCAGACAGAGCGCTGTGATTGGCCAACCAAACCAATAAGAGGGCTGTGATTGGCCAACCAAACCAATAAGAGGGCTGTGATTGGCCAACCAAACCAATAACAGGGCATCCGCGGGTCCTTAAAAAGTCTTAAAAAGACTTAAATTAGCTTTTCCAAATTTAAGGTCTTAAAAATCCTTAAAAATGACTAATAATCCTTAAATACAGCTTTCAAATGTCTTAAATTACCAAAGACCCAATAAACAAGATTCTTTTATTTCTATACAATTTTCCTGAATTTGTAGTTAGTCTTCATTAATTATTTGTGTATGATGTTGGCGTAAGCGGAACCGTACACATTCAGTTGGTTGTGAAAGGCGGCTATTTTTAGATGAGCACATTAGCTGGTTAAGCTAGTGGGAGCTTGCACCATGGGGAAGTGCAAGTTTAATGGTAACTGGATGGCTAATCCCACGTTTGCGACATGGTTAGCACCGGTTCCAGGCAATAGCTGGAAATTATAGCTTAAATTTAATTTTAAAAATGGCTTAAATTTGGTCAAAGGGGCCTTAAAAAAGGTCTTAAACGTCTTAAATTTGGCTCCCTTAAACCTGCAGATACCCTGAATAAGAGGGCTGTGACTGGCCAACCAAACCAATAAGAGGGCTATGATTGGCCAGACACATGGCTGGTCCGGCCTGCTGAGGCTCTAAAGGAGCGTGGCTAGACTGACCTGCAAAGCAAACTCATTTTGGCTTTTTCAATGGCCTCTCTAGATTTCTAGGCTAGTGATCACCATCTCAGCTGAACCAACAGGTGAAGGTATAATGCACCCCCCCCCCCCCCCCCCCCCCCAACCCTTCCAACTTGGTTGAGGCAAGAGCTTCTACTATAATGGCACTGCGTGTCTGCACCAACGCAGTATAAATTAGGCTTTACTTGTTTGGGTCTTTCTTAACCACAACAATGTGGTTCAGCTCTGATCCAGCTGTCCATCTATAGAGACACAAAGCTGAGTCCTGGTGGAGCCCAGCTCTCACCAGGAACTGGTCAGATTTACTGCCGACCACATGGACCAGACTCCTTTGGTACAAGGACTGAATGGCCTTTCACAGATGACCATCCATCCAAACCATAGTGCCCCCCACAGGTCTCACCTTCACATTTGGACCAATTAACCAAGGGAGGACCCCATCAGGAGCCCCAGACAACATCTCCACCAATCACCAGACCTCTTGAACTCCTCCGCCGTGGTATGGTGGTGGTTCAACCTGATCTAGGCCTGAGATTTTTTATCAATTACAACTTCATCTGAAAAGGCAAGACGTGCTAATGTTAGCATCTGTAATCATGAATGTTGCTGCTGCTTCTGTGTTGATGCTGTTGACATGTTTATCCACCACAGGGGCGGAGAAATCCGAGCATGTTAGAAGTCATCCTAAACCCTTAAGTACAACCATGAAACCCGTCAGAGTCAGCAGGAGAAACAGACTCCTTTAGGGAACTTCGGGTCTTTGTTGTTTTTAATGGACTTCACACAGACTAGAGATAAGATGATTACTTTAATCCAGATTACTGTGGCCGATGAAACATCAGAACATGTCTGCTGTGTGCCTCGTCTCCATCAGGTGCATCTGTGGGCTGCTGAAGAAGAAGCCTCGTATCCTGGTGACTCACCAGCTGCAGTACCTGAAGGCAGCTGATCAGATTCTGGTGCTGAAGGAGGTTTGTTCCTGTCTGTCGGCTTTCCACAATGCCTCTACAGCCAGTCTACACCCCTGGTTCTAGTTCAGCCTTGTTTAGCTGCTCCAACACACCCGATTCAGGGGTTCAGTCACTTCTTAATCACCTTTTGATTCAAAGGAAACCTCAAACCATCATTTCATCAACAGGAAGCTTTAACTTGACTGGTTAATGACCACGTTAGTGGACACCAGGTCTGTTTGATATCAGGAGTGAGTCTGAGGACCTGTTCTGAGTTTCACGTTAACAGGTTATGTTTTATGTCTGTTTTCATTCATTTTAAGAGCTCAGGTAGTTTCCAGTAAGGCTGTCTGAGTTTAGAGACCCTAAAGTAGCTGTGAGCGTTTAAACTGGAGCTCAGATGGTTTCAGTCGGAGTGCATCTGTTTGTCATCAAGGGTTTATGCTGCTGAGGTTCTGTTTAGATGTTGGCAACAGGGTGTAAACTGTGTGTGTGTGTGTGCGTGTGCGTGTGTGTGTGTGTGTGTGTGTGTGTGTGTGTGTGTCAGGGTCACATGGTGGCAAAGGGAACATACACGGAGCTGCAGAGGTCTGGGGTGGACTTCACCTCCTTACTGAAGAAAGATGAGGAGGAGGAACAGCAGCCCCCCCACGACGTTCCTGTCAGGAGCAGAACTTTGTCCCAGAATTCCACGCTCTCCCAGACCTCCTCCGCCCACTCGGTCAAAGATGGAGACAACCTCCCGGTTGGTACAGCTCCTTTTAAAACGATTCCTGCGTAACTGGTGTGTGCTGCCACCCAGTGGTCTAAATCAGTTACTGCAGGTAAATTGTTGGTTGTTAAACTCGGCTCCGTAAATACCTGAAGCTGTAAAAGTAAAACGCTGATTGTTAGAGCTGGGTCACATGACCTAAAACGTCACATAAACCTAAGAACTGTTGGATTTAATGTTTGATTCAGCTCAGTCAGTTGAACTTTCAGATACAGAGAAGAGCTCCTCCTTAGGTGTGTGTGTGTGTGTGTTCTCCCAGGCGGAGGCGGTCCAGACGATGTCGGAAGAGAGTCGGGCTCAGGGGAACATCGGACTGGGTCTGTACGTGAAGTACCTGCGGGCTGGAGCCAACATCCTGCTTCTGCTGTTGACGGTGCTGGTCAACCTGCTGGCTCAGGTAAACAGAACCAGACCTGATTGATCAGACATGATCAAACGATCGCTCACACCTCTGTGGTTTCTCCTCCTCTAGGTGTCGTACATCGTGCATGACTGGTGGCTGGCCTACTGGTAACCACAGCAAACACTGGACTTTAATCATGAACCTCCCATCTTTTCTCATCTATTTCTCTGTTTGTGATTGATCAGGGCTGAGAAGCAGGACAAGCTCTCACAACAAAACACCACCATAAGTGGACAGAACTCCACTGAGCTGGACATAAGCTTCTACCTGGGCGTTTATGGAGGTATGGAGCTTCGTAGATGATCCGTCTGCTCAGGGGCGCAGCTACCTACTTTATGAGGGGTATGCGACCACATAATTGAGCCCCCCCCACCACACACACACACACACACACACACACACAACACCATCCCATTGCCCATAAGGTCTTTCACCAGCCCTCTGCTCTGCACTTCTCTGTTCCTCTCCCTCTTCTCTCTGTTCTCTCTCCTTCATCATGTGGATCTCTCTGTTTCTGTCCCTCTTCTTCATCACGTTGACCTCTCTGCTCCACATTCTCGTCTGTAGTCGTTGACTTGCGTTGTCTGCCTGCACTTATTTTTCTTAAAGGACAAAAAGATGGTCAGTAAAATTCTAATCATACTAGAACTCCAGGTTTGTAATGGCCATTCTAGTATATTTATTCCTATCCGTCATGACTGATCTGAAGCTTTATTTAACAGCTATAAATTACTACTCTTGAAAATGCACTTAATCATTAGAAATAATATTTAAAAATTGATCACTTGGTATTAAGTGAGTGTTCACTTCCACCTAGTACTAGACCAACCTGTTGCCTTCCTCTCTCTGTCCTGATTCTATCTCTCTCTTCTTTTCTTCTCTCCATCCTCACATCTGAATAATAAGACATTTGAATTTAGAAATTTAAAAAAATACAAGACTCAAACTACATATAAAACTATTATATTTTAGTTTAAAATTGCAGGAATTTAAGAGCAAATCTGAAGTGCGTCACCCAGTTCAATAATTTATCAGTATTATCGCTCAACATCCAATTAAACAAAGGATTACTGTCAGAAAAACTAAATAACCACCGCTGGTTCCTTTATTTTTCTTGTGATTATCTGTTACATATTTTTATTAAGATTAGACAAACAGAAACCCCTCCTCACTTAGATCTACACACACACACACACACCCCACTGCTCTCACGGAGATCCGACTGCTCCCAGAGGCCTGTGTGAGATTAAAACCCTGATCTTGTGATCGATACAGGACACCCGTAACCTGTCATTTTACTAGTGGCAGGCTAACAACTTCAGCTAATAGGAATAACTAGGGATGTAAGAAAATGTCGATTATGGCAATATATCGTGATATTTTACCCAGCGATATTATATCGATATTAAAAAGCCATGTATCAAAAATATCGATATCGCAATATATCGTGATATTTTACCCAGCGATATTATATCGATATTAAAAAGCCATGTATCAAAAATATCGATATCGCAATATATCGTGATATTTTATCTTGCAAAAATGTATCGATATTCAAAAGTCGCGTATCTAATTTTTGGAAGAATTTACATGGAAACATTTGTGTATTTTCTTTTCTTGTGGTGCAATTCAAACGCCGACCACTAGTTGGCAGCAGTGTGTAATGGGTTTTGTTTCCACCATTGAAATGTAAATCCCTCTGTTATGGTTAAACATGTTAAGTATCAGTTTGGACTGTTTATTGAATTTTCCTATAATAAATTTAGTCTAAAAAATCGCCAATATCGTCTGACTGAATGTATCGCAATATATCGTGATATATTGTATCGTCTCCCCTGTGTTGTAATACGTATTGTATCGCCAGAATTTCACCAATACACATCCCTAGGAATAACTATGCCTTCTTGCGAGAGGACTCACCGTCTTTCAACCACTTAGAAAAGTTTTTTTTTTTCATCTCTACGAAATCATTTTGCTTTTCCCTCTTCCGTTTTCTGTTTTGTGCCCCAGAGAGCTTTTTTTTTTCAGTCTGTCCATCTCTAGCTAACCTAGCTAGCTGATCAGAAGTTAGTAGATATCATTCAAATGAAAACAATCGCACCCCAGAACGTATTCGCGGGCGCACGCGCTGGACTCGTCAAGTCTGTTCACGTTCTGTGTGTGTGTGTGTGTGTGTGTGTGTGTGTGTGTGTGTGTGTGTGTGTGTGTGTGTGTGTGTGTGTGTGTGTGTGTGTGTGTGTGTGTGTGTGTCTGTGTCTGTGTCTGTGTCTGTGTGTGTGTCTGTGTGTGTGTGTGTGTGTGTGTGTGTGTAGGGCGGGGGTGTGGAGCAGGGCTGCGGAGGGGCGCCCAATTGCTTGCTGCACAAATGGCTATGAAACACAAAGATGCCCTTTTCCCCCATCATTGCTTAGGCGCCCCCACCAGCGCGGCGCCCCTATGCGTCGCATACACTGCATACCCACTTTTTGCGCCACTGCGTCTGCTCTGTGAGCTCCTTCAGTTCTGCTGATCAGTGACTCCTACTCCATTACTCAGGCCTGACGGCTGCCACCATCCTGTTTGGCTTCATGAGGAACCTTCTGCTGTTCGGCGTGTTGGTGAGAGGAGCTCAGACGCTCCACGACCGGATGTTCAGCTGCATCCTCAGAACTCCCGTCCGCTTCTTCGACATCAATCCCATCGGTAAGTCGAGCTCAGGTCTGGAGACGCCGGGAGGACACGGCCCCCGCTAACGTTCCGTCTCACTGCAGGAAGAGTCCTCAACAGGTTCTCCAAGGACATCGGACAGCTGGACTCTATGATGCCGTGGACGTTTACGGACTTTGTCCAGGTGGGGACACACCGAACCTGTCTTGGTTTAGAACACTGGGAATCGTGATGAAATGATATTTAAGACTTTAGAGTTTTTGTGTCGAGGAACAAGATCCTGGACGCGTTTGACCTCGTTCGTCCCTCTGAGCAGGTCTTCCTCCAGATTCTCGGCGTGATCGCCGTGGCGTCCTCTGTGATCCCGTGGATTCTGATCCCTGTTGTCCCGCTCCTCGGCGTGTTCCTGTTCCTGCGACGTTACTACCTGAGAACCTCCAGAGATGTCAAACGTCTGGAGTCCACCAGTGAGCGTCCCCTGAGTGGGTTCAGAGTCCAGATTTAAGCTGTTCCGGCGTCTCAAATGTCTCTTTGTCCCACAGCTCGGAGTCCCGTCTTCTCCCACCTGTCCTCGTCTCTTCAGGGCCTGTGGACGATACGAGCGTTCTGCGCTGAGAAGAGGTTCCAGAAAGCCTTTGACGCCCACCAGGACCTTCACTCAGGTCCCCCCCTCCCCTCAGATCTCAGACTCTGGTCCGTTTGTCCCATCTGTGTTCTGACTCTCTGGTTCTGAACAGAGGCCTGGTTCCTGTTCCTGACCACCTCCCGCTGGTTCGCCTTTCGCCTCGACATCATGTGCTCCATCTTCGTCACCATCACCGTGTTTGGCTGCCTGCTGCTGCGAGACCGTAAGGATCCCTAGTTTCTGCTGTGGGCCACTAGGGGGAGCCAGAGTCTCTGAGCAGAGTTGTGTTTTCAGAGTTGGACGCCGGTTCTGTCGGGCTGGCGCTGAGCTACGCCGTCACGCTGATGGGGATGTTCCAGTGGGGCGTCAGGCAGAGTGCAGAGGTGGAGAACATGGTGAGAACCTTCAGACGCGCCGGTAGAACTCCTCAGACGTTCGGAGGCCGTAAGCTGTTTCTGCTTCCAGATGACCTCGGTGGAGCGGGTGGTGGAGTACACGCAGCTGGAGAGTGAAGCTCCCTGGGAAACGCACAAGCGCCCTCCTCCAGGCTGGCCCACCAAAGGCCTGGTGACCTTTGACCGGGTCAGCTTCTCCTACAGCCCAGACGGGCCGCCGGTGCTGCAGAACCTGCAGGCCACATTCAAACCCAAAGAGAAGGTTGGACATGCTTGTTTGTGGAGAACAGCTGGTCCCAGAGGTTGGACAGAACCTGATGTTCTCCGTTTGTCAGGTGGGCATCGTTGGGAGAACCGGAGCCGGGAAAAGCTCCCTGATCTCGGCTCTGTTCCGCCTGGCAGAACCTCAGGGGAAGATCTACATCGACGGAGTGGTGACGTCTGAGATCGGACTCCACGACCTGCGGCAGAAGATGTCCATCATTCCTCAGGTCAGCAGGAGGAGGAACGAGTCCACCGGTAGAACGTGAGACTAAAGAACCACTTAGATGAAACATAGCTCTTGTGTTTGTGTCCCAGGACCCGGTTCTGTTCACGGGCTCCATGAGGAAGAACCTGGACCCGTTCAACCAACACTCCGATGAAGAGCTGTGGAACGCCCTGCAGGAGGTCCGAGGCAGCCCGGTTCTGCTTTTGTTTGTAAACTAAAGGATGTGTCTCTGTAAAGGCTCCGAATATTCGTCTCACAGACGGATTCGAGCATCAGCTGAGAGTAAAATGGCGGCTTTAGGGTCTAATCAAAGTTCTCAGAAAAGTGCTTCAAATATTTTTCATCTGCTCAGAGCTTCTGGGTTTGGGACGGGTCGGTCGGTGTGGACCAGCACGGGTCCGCAGTTTCAGGAGATCGCTTCGGTTTGGCAGGCGGGGTGAACGTACCGTCGTGCGATTTCATAAATGAGTTGTGCAGCTTACCAACGGGCTCCACGTGTGACCCGGCCCGCCTCGGTTTGTCGGTCTGTGCCCAGGGGTGGACTGGCCCATCTGGCATTCTGGCACTGTCCCGGTGGGCCAGCTTGGGCCGACACTACTCCACAGCTGGTGAGCTGCAGAACATTAGCTACATGGTAACCCGAAGCTAACAGAGTTTTTCCAGGCGCTTTTAGCGAGAAAAACGCGGTAGAGCGATGACGCAGGAACAGTTTCACCGTGTTAGCATGTAGCTGATGTCCCAAGCGGTACCAAAAATGATTCTTTCACAAGATCTGACCAAAGAGGAGATTTGTGATGTCGCCATTTTAAACACTCCACGACAAAATCACTCCCACATCACGTGTGTTTACACTCGCTTGGTTTTACCACCTCTTTAGCCCCATTCCGGGAATTGTCGGGGAGGAGGAACTACGATGGCTCGGTCCTCTCCTTATAAAATCGACCCTTTCAGGACTTTCAGACGTCAGCAGCACATCACGACTGCTTCAGCACTGAGTGATGTCACTGATCAGCGCCAGAAGGCGTCCACGGACATTAGTAACACTGTTGAAGTTCGACGGGATTTAATCAGTTCGGGAGACGGGGAGAGCGGCTGTGTGACTTAAAAAGTTGCGTTCAATGACCAGAAAAAATGCCGTTTTTACGGGTGTTTCCTGTTGGTTGCGTTGTGAGGGACTTCCACTGCGCTCTTTGTGCTGGGAGCTCAGAAATCACGATTTTTAAGCAGCATCAGTGCTGCTTATTTTCTTTTTTCTTTTATTTTTCCTCGCCAGCAACTCTTCCAGGTTTAAAAACGGCGGCTGTTTGCTGATGTCATTTCCAGCATGAGTTAACCAATCCCGCCCAGGCCGTTCCTGACCCTCCTTTGTTCAGATACTCTGCTGGTTCCTGAAATGTCCAGGACCATGGACCTTTCAGTGGCCCGGTGCAGTGGAGATGTGTGCATGTCATGAAGGATCGGTAACACGACCCGGAAGTTCTGACGGGGCAAACGGGACTAGTTACTGCAGCTGCAGAGGACATGTGTCTCTGCCGTCTGCATCCTTCTGACCACCTGCTCGTCTCCTCCAGGTCCAGCTCAAGTCTGCGGTGGAGGAGCTCCCGGGGAAGTTGGAGACGGTTCTGGCCGAGTCCGGCTCCAACTTCAGCGTGGGTCAGAGGCAGCTGGTGTGTCTGGCCAGAGCCGTCCTGAGGAAGAACCGTATCCTGATCATCGACGAGGCCACGGCCAACGTGGACCCCAGGTACCCCTGAGACATAACGCAGCAGGTCCTCAGAGGTCAGAGGTCACACGCTCAGCTGTTTGTTGTTGCTGCAGAACCGACGAGTTGATCCAGAAAACCATACGGGAAAAGTTCAGGGAATGCACCGTGCTCACCATCGCCCACCGCCTCAACACCATCATCGACAGCGACAGGATCCTGGTGGGTTCTCACGCTGTACACACAGGTGGTTCCACTACGGTGGCTCTGAAGGGTCAAGCAGGTTTTCACAGGTTAAGGTGCTGAGAGTTTCAGCTTCATGAGTCGGGTCTTGTTCTCCTGGAACAGAGACCTGGCTGGTTTCCAGTGTGCAGATGTAACTGGTCTGACACTGGGCTCAGGGGGGTTACGGTCAGATGAAACCCCAACAGAACCAGACTACAGACCGGTTCTGATGCTAGAACCAGTCTCTGCTGCTCTGCCGTGACCGCGCCTGGTTCTGTTGCAGGTTCTGGATGCGGGGCAGATCCACGCCTACGCCGAGCCGTACGTCCTGCTGCAGGACGCCAGCAGCATCTTGTATAAAATGGTTCAGCAGACGGGCAAACAGGAGGCAGCGGCGCTGCTAGAAGCAGCTAAACAGGTGAGTCGTACTCCAGACGAAGCTCCTTCTGATTCTGTTAAACCAACTTTTGTCTGATTGACTTGTTTGTTTATTTTCTGCTTCAGGCGTACGAGAGCAGAAGTCATCCCAGCATTCCAAACGGACCCAAAGAAACGTCAGACGGCAACTTGGTTATCTTTGAAACGGCTCTATGAGCTCAGAGACTAAGTCGTGACTCTGTTAGGAGACTCCGGAGAGCGTGAGCTGGTTGGGTTCAGGTCCGGTTTCCGGTGAGATCACATATCCACCTCGGAGGGAGGACCGGGCCTGACAACGGGCCCAGCGGCGTTCCGACCGCTCAAACGTTTGCACACAAAGCCGCTGCTTGATTCCGTTAAGCTGAGAGAGCTTTGGGAACTCTGCTGCCACACCTGTTCAGGTGGAGCATTACTTATTTATCAGCTATGGTTCTGAAGAAACGGGTTTTTAATGGCTCCAGGATGTTCAGCTGTTTTAGTTCTGCATCAGTTTTTAGTGTGTTTGTGTCCAAAGTTGCCTTTTTCTGTTTCAGGTTTCAATGATGTAACGGCAAATGTTTGAGTTTTCAGTAAAAAGCTGTTTTACTTTTGTGTTGAATCAACGTTTATGACCACACACACACACACACACACACACACACACACACACACACACACACACTCATCTGTCTTTCTGTCTTAGTAACCCTAACCAGTGCTGTTCTACTAACCCTAACCTTAACTAAAACTTAATTCACACCATACCTCTAAAATCAACTGGTAAGCTTAAAAAAGTGAGGATCAAAATCAAATCAAACTTTATTCAAAAGCACTTAATCACACGATGAATGCAACTCAAAGTGCTGAACAAATTAAAAAGGCCCCGCATACCCACATTCCCTCCCATCCCCAGAATTTAAAAACCCTGATAATAAAAACCCCTTCACAAGACCCCCCCCCCCCCATGGAAAAAACACAATGGACTGAGTTTAGATGAGCCAGACCAGCTGAGATAAGGAAACGCCATCAGGGAAGCCATCCCCCCCGATAGCAGCAGATCCACAGCACGGATCCCAGGGCAGGGAGGGTGGGAACCCCCACCTCCACCTAGGCACACCTGGAAAGCACCCAGGCCGCCCCAGCCGACCACCACCCCCAGGGCAGCAGGCTCCTCCCACAGAGGAAACACTGGAAAAAGGTTAAATTATAAAGCTAAAATGAAAGTTGTAATATAAAAAGTTGTATAGATATTAAAATAATGTTAATCATAAATCTACAGTTTAAAAAGATATGTATAAATAAAATAAAAACTCTGTTTAAAAAGAATATATAAAATAAATAGATACATAAATAACCTAATTTATTTATTTAAAAAGTTAGAGTATTCAGTTAAAAGCTAATAAGCTAAAAAGATGGGTCTTGAGCCTGTTTCTAAAAACATGAACGTACTCTGAGGTCCCCTGGCAGCTCGTTCCAGGGGCGAGGATCGTAGTATTGGAAGGACGCTTCGCCGTGAATATGCGTCCTGACTTTAGGGATGACAAGGAGACGGCTGCCAGAGGAGCACTGAGACCGTGTCGTTTCATACGCTATAAGCAGTTATGACAGATAAGAAGGCCCAAGACCATTAAGACACTTAAAAACCGTTACAAGTATTTTAAAATTGATCCTGAAACACGGGGAGCCAATGCAGTGATTCTAAAACTGGAGTGATGTGCTCCCGCTTCCTGGTCTTCATCAGGACACGTGCTGCTGAGTTTTGTAATAGTTGTAGACCTGAAATCCTCTTTTTAAGAAGACCAGAAAGCAGGGCATTGCATTAGTCTATTCTACTGGTGATGAAAGCATGCATCAGCGTCTCCGTATTGGCACGAGAGAGAATGGGGCGGACTCTGGCGATGTTCTTTAGATGATAAAAACCTATTTTGGTGATATTTTTAATGTGTGGGATAAAAGTCAGCTCAGAGTCAAAGATGACTCCCAGGTTCTTCACTTGTGAAGAAGGATTAAGAGACAGTGATTGTAATTTTGGTAAAAGCTTCTCTCTGTGCCTCATGACCAATGACTAAAGTTTTGTCCTGGTTGAGCTGGAGAAAGTTTCCTGCCATCCAGGATTTGATGTATAAAATGCAGTTAAAAAGTGCATCCATTGGCCGTGTTTCATCAGGAGACACAGAGATGTACAACTGTGTATCATCAGCGTAGCTGTGGAAATTCACCCCGTGTCTCCTGATGACACTGCCAAGAGGGAGCATATAAAGGTTAAAAAGCACCGGGTCTAAAAAGAGGATGAGGAAAATGTCTTCGCTTTGTATGGAAAATAGTGAAAATGGTCCTCCGTGTGTAGTAAGTACAAGAACACGCTCTCTCACACACTTGTGCGTTTGCACACACACACACATCCTCTCACAGGCAGCGGCTAGTGCTAGCTGTCATTCAAATCCCACGTTAAACAGGTTTTTAGGATTTCCTTCTTTCACCTCCGGAATATTGCTAAGATTAGAAGCATCCTTTCCAGGAGTGATGCTGAAAAACTAGTTCATGCATTTATTACATCAAGACTGGATTACTGTAAATCATTACTCTCAGGAAGTCCACAGAATGTAGTTAAAAGTCTTCAGCTTGTCCAAAATGCTGCAGCTAGAGTTCTGATGAGAACTGAAAAGAGAGATCACATTCAATTCAATTCAAAAATACTTTATTAATCCCAGAGGGAAATTGATTTCTCTCCTGTCTTAGCTTCCCTACACTGGCTACCTGTTAAATTCAGAATAGATTTTAAGATCCTTCTTCTCACATATAAAGCTCTTAATAATCAAGCTCCATCATACATCAGTGATCTGATTGTTCCATATGTCCCTAACTGAGCACTCGCTCTCAGACTGCAGGTCTACTGGTGGTTCCCAGAATATCTAAAATTAGGATGGGAGGCAGATCTTTTAGTTATCAGGCTCCTCTCCTGTGGAACCAGCTCCCAGCTTTAGTCCGTGAGGCAGTCACCTTGTCTACTTTTAAGACCAGGCTTAAAACATTTTCATTTGATAGGGTCTATGGTTAAAATCTGATGTTAGCCTAAATCTGGACAAGTGGGGGAGTAGAGGGAGGTGGAGTGTACAGTCGGTAAAGACTGCTCTCCCTTGCCCTGCCTCCAACATGCCTCCATCTAAAAAGGCTAGGTTATCCAGAGTTATCTCTGTCGTTATGCTGCTATAGGCTTAGATGGCTGGAGGACACTGACTTTCCACGCTCTACTACCTTCTACCACTACTCTCTAATTGCATCATTAGCTGTTAACTAAGTTTTTCTCCCCAGAAGAAGCTGCAATGGTGTTCTGCTGAGCTGTGGTGGCTTCATGGAGGGGGCCATCGGCTAGCAAACTGCTGCTAACCACTTAAACATTCTCCCTCTCCTGATTAAAACATTTTACTAGGCCTGAAACGATAACAAATATTTTTGGACGATATATTGTCCAACAAATCATTGACGATAAACGATATTATTGTCGGCATGATCAAGACCAAAATAACCACTCATGTAATATTACTATATCATAATAATGCCCTGATTTTATCTACAAAAATAAGTCAGAACCCTGAAATCAAAATTCAACAAAGATCTTTTTTATTGCTTGAATAAATATTTTCTTTGAGTTGAAGCAATAAAAATGTACAAAATTTGACACAAGTAGAAAAACAGAGATCCCTAATAACAGAACAATGCACATGAAACACTGAATCTATGACAAGCAAAGAGTTGGCACAAGGCAAAAAATAAAGCTGACAACAAAGTGTGACGTTGATAGAGACAGGTGCGGCTCTGGACCCTGTGGGGTGTATCGCTGGTCTGGTTCAGGAGTTAGAAGCTGAGGTCTCTGTGTTTGTGCTACATCATCACATCAGGTGTGTTATTGCGTTAGTACTCTGAGTCGCTGATGTCACTGAGGGAACAAAGGCTGCTCTTCAGGGTGCTTCCTGTTCCAGCTTCGGTCACACCTGCAGGAAACACACCTAGTTTAGGTTTGTTCTAAGGGTGTAGCTGTGTGAGACAGGAAGTGCTTCTTACCTGAGCTGGGTCCCTTTCCTGTGGAGGTTCCCCACACGCTGGTGCTAGGTGAGTCCAGGCTCTTCCTCAAGGGTCCAGAACCACGGAGAGTTGGTTTAGTCACTTCCTGTCTGTCCTCCACATCTGTAATCTGTTAACAACACGTTGGACTGAAAGATTCATCCTTTCCTGATGGAAGCTGTGATTTCACTCTCCTGACTGACTCAGGATCACTTTTATTAACTGTTTTACTTAAAAAAAGGTGAATCAAATTGATATCGCAATGTTTGCCAGAAAGTTCACAATTACATTTTTTAGTGAAACTGTTGAGTCTATCAAGTCTGAACCATTAAACCCAGTTAGAGACCCAGTCTTCTCACCAGTAGCTCCTGAACCTCATCCCTCCTCCCAGGCAGGACGCTAACGCCCCCTGCTGGCTTCTTCACCGCTCTCTCCGCAAACTGCTGCTCCATTTTTCGAGCCAAGTCACTGATTTGAACTAAAAGACATGAAAACGAACAAGTCACATTAGCATGCAAGGTGTGCTCTGGGTTTGTGTCAGACTTAGAACCGGTTTGGGATTTGATGTTGGGCCGTTTCTGAACTTTTCTTATTTTAAGTGAGATTTGACCTCATCAGTTAAAGCCCGACTACCAATAAGCTGAGACTCCCCAGAAGGGATAATACATCGGTTTAGCTAAATCTCTCAAGTATGAGCCAGACTTAACCTACGGGATGAAATTGTAGAGAAAAATGAACAATAAAACATGGAGAACTGGCTCTAAGAGGCATGATGTCAATCTACTGACAGATATCAGATTAGATACAGAAAGGAAGTAGGGCTAATTTCAGTTTAGGCTCCAAATGATCACAAAAACAGTATCATCTATACATTTTTAAAGGCCCTTTATGATGAACAATTTCGATAGAAACCGTGTTCCCCAGCCCAGATGCGGGTCACCAGGGCTCCCCTCTGGAGGTGGGGCATGTTGACGAGTGCCCAGTAGCCATGGAGCTTGGTCACACACAGCCAGAAGAGGAAACATAGGTCCCCCTTCCTATGGTCTCAAGACTCGTGGGAGGGGCCAAAGGGGTAGGGCGCATTGTGTGATGGTGGCCGAAGGTGGGAACCGTGGCGGTCTGATCCTCGGCTACAGAAGCTAGCTCTCGGTACGTGTAATGCCACCTCTATGGTGGGGGAGGAGCCTGAGTTGGTGTGTGGTTGAGAGGTTCCAGTTACATCAATCAGTCAATACTTTATTAATCCCAGAGGGAAATTAAGAGTTTCATTACACACAATTCAGAGATCAGACATACATGGGCAAGACACGTGACAAGAATTGGTGACTGTGGTCATTCGCAACCCGAGTCGCGCTACCTTAATAGAGATAAGAGGGTAACATGAGGATTGGTTCAGGTGGAGGGAAAAAAAGGCACTTCAGAGTTACCCTCCCACCAAGAGGGTAGCTTTGCTCTGCAAAAAAAACAGGGGGGGGGGGGGGAGGAATCCCGTTCCCCCCAGCGAGAGCAGCCATCTACGGCGCTCATCTACTGTACAGTCACAGGTGGGAGGGAGATCTTGGGAGAAGCGAAGAGCACATTGACTCCTGCAGGTTGATGACCTCGCCAGGCTGAAGGTGTGTGTGTGTGTGTGGGGGGGGGGGGGGGGGGGGGTTCACAGCATCTGTCTGCATTACTTCGTGGGGGTTTTAGTTGCTTGCAGCTCAAGGCTACCAGGGCATCAGATTCAGATAACAAGAATTTGTTTGGGTCAGGCTGAGATAATTTTCCTCTCTGCCTTCAGTCTTTAAGCTGATCATTTCCAGTCCTTCAGTGAAGCCAATTTTGGGTTTTTAAACCTGTCCATACCGTCCAGTGACTCTCTGAGATGACATCCATTTTGCGCACTAACACCGGTATCACAGCTAGAACATTGTCCAGCTTACGATTCACCTCGAGTAACGTCCCAGTCTGAGAAGTCTCCACACGGACGGTGCTTTCCGTGGGTACGGGTCGCCCTCCAATCGCTCCCGTCTTCCCAAATTTCCAGAAAACCAGATATCCTCCCACTCCAATCAGGAGAAATCCAGTGATCATCAGACCAAATATCCACACGTCTTCGATATCCTCAATGGACAGCTGGGAGAGGCACATGATCTTCCACTCCTTCCAGGAATCCAAAATATATCCCACCGGGTGTGTCCCCTGTGGACATGTGGGAGCCCCCTGCTCCGTTCTCATTGTTGAAAAAATCTTATCGATCGCATTGAATGACCATTTTATCAAATCCATGGTTAGTAAAAATAGGGTTTTTCAGAAGAAATGCAGAGAAGCGCTCTGTGGGCAGACAGGACAAAGAGCCTTGGGAAAAAAAGATAAGGGAGCGAAAGAGGGAAGCGTCTCTACTCCTCGAGTGCCTTAAAGAAAATACATAGAGTGTCACCTCAATGCATGGCTCTGGCTCTAGAACCAGTTTCCTTGAGAGGCGTTGGACTCTCCACCGCTCTGAAACTGCTCCCACTGAGAGGCGCCGATCCGGGGTGGGCATACTTGTTGGCTGTTTGTTGGGGTTTAACCCGGTGAAGAAGAGCGTAGCCTCCCTCCACCTGCGTGTGGGAGGACGGGTCCCGACTGTTGTCTGTGCGACTACCCCCCTTCCTGTTTGGAGCCCAAGGAGTGGGTGCTGGAGAGCGCTCCATCTGGGAACTCCCTCATTCTGATGGGAGACCTTGCGTATGGGCAATGACAGTGAGACCTGGAGGGGTGTGGTTGGGGTGAACGATCCCCGTGACCTGAAGCTGAGCGGTGCTTTGTTATTGGACTTCTGTGCTCATCATGGATCGTCCATGATGAACTGTGGTGGCTGTTGAATTTAACAGGTGTTGTGCTGAAAAGAGCATACCAGCCGAGATTTGCATGAGCTGTTGTGGGAAGGTGCACATGAATACCGAGGTGATTTAATGAATAAGTACAATTAACATGTTTCGTTTCCATTAGCTTCCTTACAAAATGATGGTTTATGAGCAGATAAATGAAATAATGAATTTATTTGAAAAAAAAAAATCTTTAAAAAATTTATAATTTCGAGTCACATTCCTGTTTTTTAAACCAACAGCAAAATTCAAGCAGTCAGCGGAAAAACTATAAAAATACTACCTAAACATTAGTCTCTAATGTATTTAGATAAAACGATGCCAAAACTAAAGTTTTTAAAGGGACTTTACGGACTTTTGACTTTTTATGCTCGCAACTGCCCCCTCAGGCCAAAAGCGTAACGGCAGCTTCAATAGGAGGCTCGTGCACGAGGCGCACATGCTGTACATGCACACTCCTTAATGAAAATAACAGCTGAGACAGTCCCGTGTGTGTGTGTGTGTGTGGCCCGGAGGACAGGAGAACACACAGCTAATTAATTAAATAATGTGGTTCTGTACCTTTCTCTTCAGCACAGCTGACAAAGGTTTATGATGGGTCAGTCCTCCTGCATGCTCAGATCATTCCCTTCCCTTGCTTGAAAAATTGTTCCAAAATGAAAGTTGAACCCACATCTTTTTTATCTGTGAATTCAATGCCGTTCGGCGAGTCTCAAATAAAAATTTGGGCATCTTACTGTAAAAAAATACAACATTAATGTAAAAAAGAAACTCTAAATGAACTATGTTCACATCCAGAATCAAACCCAGGTCTTCCATATGGGAGCCAGACATCTTACAAGGTGAGCTACACTCTAGTAACATTCACAGAACGTCCCAACCTCACACACCAGCTCTGGCTCCCATCCCACCAGACAGGTACCGTTATCTGAACCGAGAGCCAGCTGATCAGACGGCCAAGGTCACGTTGCATCTGACCCCTTTGGCCCCTCCCACAAGTGGTGAGCCCATGGAAAGGATGGCCCTCGTGTCTTCGGGTTACTAACCTTTATCAGATCTTTTTTTGTTAATATTTCCGTTCAGGTCTTTGAAAGCCTGCATCTGTTTTGGGTCGATCTCCTGCAGCTCGCTGACATCTGACCAGTCATCGTCCTCTTCCTCGCTCTCCATCTTTGTGACGGCTGTCTGGATTGCAGCTCCCGCTGATTGTTTGGAGGAGGACTGAAAGGCTGCAGCGCTCTTGGACTGGACTGGACCGGTTTTACTTGCTGTAATCTGGACTGGCGTGGCCTGAAATAATCTGGACGCCGGCAACTTGCTCTTTTGAGGAGGCTCCTCCTCTGAGTCGGTCTCTTCTTCAGATTCCTCATCTGAACTGAACGGAGGGGTCCTGGAGAAGAAACGTTCAGACCTTTAACCTGTTGCTTTTCTAACCTTTTCATATAAAAGGAGAAGTTTTTCAGGAACCAGATGGTTATTCCACTTCTACATGATTCTTTGTGGATATTTACTTTTAGAAGGACCTGATTTTGGACCAACCATTACGTTCCCATACCTGCTTGAGACGATCCTGACGGCAGTCTTATTCTTGGGCGTTGATGTCTTGGGCTGGACGGTGGGTTTGGTCCTGGGAACCGGCTGAGGGACCTTTGGCTGCTTAGCTGTGGCTCCAGATGATGCCACCTGGCTGGATCTGGATGGAAGGCTGCTGGATCGTGGGCGGATCTGCATGACTGGACAAAAAAAAACACATTTCACTTAAAGAGCAAGTCACCCCCTACCATAGTCTAACTTCACTCCCACTTCATGTTTGAAAAATGCAACAAATGCTGTTGCCTGGCAGACCAAGAGGGTGGAGCCGCTAACAAATACACACACACTCAGGCTCACGACAGCATTGTGACATCATAATGTACCAGTTTACATCATAGCATACCTCTTAGCCAATGGCGGTGGCAGATTTAAATTAAAATACAGTGCAGAGTTTTTACCTGACAACGGCACAACACTGCCAGTTTTAGGCAGAATATTTAAATTTTAACTAAGATGCACTGAAGTGCCGAATTATTGACGACACGTGTCTGCAGCACGATTAGACACTCGTTTATTAAGTTTATCAGCAAAAAAAAGTTTATTTGGGGGTGACTTGCTCTTTAAAGAGCAAGTCACTCCAAATCAACATTTTTTTTGCTGATAAACTACATAAATGAGTGTCTGATCGTGCTGCAGACACGTGTCTGCAGCACGATTAGACACTCGTTTATTAAGTTTATCAGCAAAAAAAAGTTTATTTGGGGGTGACTTGCTCTTTAAAGAGCAAGTCACTCCAAATCAACATTTTTTTTGCTGATAAACTACATAAATGAGTGTCTGATCGTGCTGCAGACAAATGTATTCAATAATCCAGCATTTTAGTTCATTTTAGTTCAAATTTAAATATTCTGCCTCAAATGTTTAAGATTTTTACTGCTATTTTTTAGCTTTTTTCACTTTTTGAGCATTTGTTATGATGCGTAACCATGGCAACAAGCTGTTTTACAATCGGGAGCAGCTGATTAACATGGGAAAGGCTGAAATAATACCTCATATGATGCCACAAATCCCAAATGAGCTAAAACGCAAGAAGCGTGGGTGCAGAGCGGGAGCAAAACGGAGACAGAGAAAGAGGAGGTTCAAACCATCTCTTCCATCGATCATAATGGGCAATGTGAGATCACTGGCCAACAAGATGGAGGAACTCCAAGCCCTTTCAAGGACTCAGCCAGAGTGTCGGCAGTTTCGGAACCGCTGGAGGAGATGATGCAAAGAAGGATTCTCCAGAGAATCAAGAAAATGATGGACAACCCTGAGCATTCTCTTCACAAGACTGTCCGACAACGGAAGAGTGTCTTCAGTCAGAGGCTTCTTCAGTTTGGCTGCAACACTGACCGCTACTGGAGATCCTTCCTGCCAACAGCCATTGTAATATACAACAACTCTTTGATGACTTGATTATTATTATTATTCTGAGCTACTACAGCAATCAATTTCCCTCTGGGATTAATAAAGTGTTTTTGAATTGGATTAAAACTGTCAGCGATGCACCGTCGTCGGGTAAAAACTCTGCACTGCATTTGAATTTAAATCTGTCGTCGCTATTGGCTAAGAGGTACACTATGATGTTAGATGGTACATCATGATGTCACAATGTCGTGAGTGTGTGTATTTGTTAGCGACTCCGCCCTCTCGGTCTGCTAGGCAACAGCATTTGTTGCATTTTTCAAACAGGAAGTGGGAGTGGAGTAAGAATCTGGTAGGGGGTGACTTGCTCTTTAAAGGTTCTCACGCCTTTGCTAAAACCAGTCAAGCCCTTTAAAAGTTTGAAGACTCCAACGTCTTGGTGTATCTGTGACCTGCTTCATGCAATATAACAATAATTCTTTATTGTTCTTGTGAAGCACGTCCCTTCAGAAGGGAAGTGTGCATCATTTAGGTTTTGAATAAGAGGTCCAGCTGTCTCTGACGACTCTCCAGCAGGCTAGCTGTTCTCGACCACGATCTCATCAGTTAAGAAGCTTTTGGACGACTCTGTCCCAGAAAGCACCTTGAACAGGTTGTTTTGATCTGGACTGGGGCTCGGGAGCGGGTTGGGTGCCTCTCCAGCGAGCTCTGAGCCTCTGATCAGCGTCGCTCGCTATCTCCTCCCGACAGCTCCAGTAATCAGGCAGTTTCTTCACGGCGGCGTCTCGCGTCGAGCTCAGACCGGCCAGGAGAGACATCAGCTCCTTGTTCTTTAAGCCACTCTGGTCCTGGGGCAACAGGGGAGAAACGTCAGCTACCTTGCTACTTACGTAGCACTAAAACGTCTCTAAGAGGGTCTCACTTACACCCCTGACCCCAAGACCTTCCAGCTTCTTGGTAAGAGAGAGTTCCAGCGCGGGCCGGATCTCCTTGATGTCGGGGCTCTTTCTCCGAGCGCCGGTTTTCAGCTTTGGTTTCCTCGCCGGTGCGGGCTCAGATTTAATCACAGCCGGCCTCTTCTCCGAGATGCTGCCGGAGTCTGGAAAAGAAATCTCACTCAGTCACCGGAAAAGTCAAAGCAATCTAATTCCGGCTGAACAATCAGACATGCACTGAGCGTCTAGGATAAGCCATTCCACAGGTTACACAGACGGAGCGCAGGCAGAGGAGGAGAACATCTACTAGATCTTTAGTTGGCCACAAACAAGATGATGGATGATCAAGAATCAAAGGATTGATCTTGGTTTTCATGTCAGATCCCGGCTGCAGGATCTCCGTCTGCTCAGAACAAACTGGTGCACTCATGCAGCAGCAGCACGCTCCGTCGGCTCCGCTCTCGTTACCTTTCTCCTCCTCCGACAGCTCCTGAATAGGATCCAGTTTAAGAGCAGAGACTGGCTCCTCTACGGGGACAGCATCAGGAGGGGGGAGAGGGGGGGGGGGGGGGGGGTAAAAGGTTACCAGGGGTCAGATAAAACGGGCCGAGAGCTCCGGCGATGCGTCGTCACAGAAACACGAGCATGTGCTCGGCCCGTCTTCCCTCCTGACCGACGGTTACTATCGACTCACCGAGCACCACTCGCTTTGGTTTGGGCTTCGGGGCCGCCGTTTCCGCGGCAACTGGAAAACGACACACATCAAAGACAGAAATGACTCTTAGCTTTAGTCTGGGGAGGAACGACGCTGGAATCGGAGTCAAGGATAGGAAGTGCTACCTGGGACTTCCACCACCCTGATGGGTGGATTAGAGGAGATGGTTCTGATCTGTGGAGGAACATCGAAGAACTCCGTCAGAATAAAGTTCACCGTTTAAACTTTTATCTTTAAAAAACATCATCTGTCTTTTTACGGGACTTTTGTAAAAGAAAAGCTAAAATTGGTTCAATATAATTTAAAGGGACTTTACGGAGTTTTGAATTTTTATGCTCGTGATTGCCCCCTCAGGCCAAAAGCGTAACAGCAGCTTCAATAGTAGGCTCGTGCACGAGGTGCGCATGCTGTACGTGCACACTCCTTAACGAAAATGACACCTGAGACAGCCCTGTGTGTGTGTGTGTGTGTGTGTGTGTGTGTGTGTGTGTGTGTGTGTGTGTGTGTGTGTGTGTGTGTGTGTGTGTGTGTGTGTGTGTGTGTGTGTGTGTGTGTGTGTGTGTGTGTGTGTGGCCCGGAGGACAGAGGACAGGAGAACACGCAGCTAATTAAATAATGTGGTTCTGTACCTTTCTCTTCAGCACAGCCGACAAAGGTTTATGATGGGTCAGTCCTCCTGCATGCTCAGATCATTCCCTTCCCTTGCTTGAAAAATTGTTCCAAAATGAAAGTTGAACCCACATCTTTTTTATCTGTGAATTCAATGCCGTTCGGCGATTCTCAAATACAAATTTGGGCATCTTACTGTAAAAAAATATATACCATTAATGTAAAAAAGAAACTCTAAATAAACTATGTTTACATCCAGAATCGAACCCAGGTCTCCTGCATAGGATTCAGACATCTTACAAGGTGAGCTAAAGCACCAGTGACGTTTTTTGTATCTGTAACATTTATATCCTTGATGACAGCTGAAACAACGTTCAAAGAACGTTTCGGAGCGAAAATGGCTATTTTGTTGCTAATTTGCAGGAAATATCTAGAAGAAAGTTCTACAGAAAGTAGCTAAGGGTCCTCAGAAATGTAGCTAGCTTTGTCACTAGGCGTTAGGAACAGCGACAAAGTGGCACTGCCTCTCTCTCTGCTGCTAAAGCTACTGATAGCAAATGCTACGGGCGATGCCTGAGCGTGAACGCGCATGAAGCAGCCTGCTCGACCCGAGCATCTCTCTTTTTCTGTGATTTTACAGAAAAACAGGCAATCACAGTAAAAATGCCAGGGCTCATTCTACAGGACCAGGGCATTGCAGGAGAATGTATGAAGAAGACATTTATTATTTCTATACATGTTTTGGCTGTCAAACTTCCATAATGCCCCTTCAATAATTTAATGTCTGAGGTGCTCAGACTAGCCGTTAGCTCATCAGTCCAGCAGGAAATAGGCTCTGTTTGTCTAAACTGAGGCTGATCATGACAGGTGAGATAGAAGTGGTTAAACGGTCAGACAGAAACACGCTTGTTTACTTTTGATCAAAATAAAGACAAACAGGAAGTGATTTTTCTCTTCAAACGATCTTTTAAAAGTTTCCTGTAGTGTAATCCGACCTAAAGTTTAGTCAGATCTCAAACTCCTTCCTGTCAGACTGAGATCCGGTCCTGTTGGAGGTGAACTGGGATTACAGCTGCACTGGTTCTGGTTCATCTCAAACAGCCATAACTATCAGAAACCCTTTTATCAACTAGTTTAAACTCCTGATTAAATCCTAAAACAAACTCCACGAGGACGATCGGCTCTGCTAGCATGAATTAGCTCTCGGCTGCGGTGCGTTCACGAGTCAGAAGAAAAATCGGCCTTGTGAGTTTCTGGTTCCCTGAGCACCGATTCAGTGAGTCGAGTCTGATGACCTTCATCTCGGTTCAGGAGTCACTCCGACCCCATGAGCTCCAGCAAATAGTCTGGGCCGCCAGTCTGAGCATAAAAGGAGCCCAGAAGGTTATTATGGGATGTTTATAGAGAAACCAAAGCCTGACACTTTAGTGTTGTGATGCTGCTGCACGGATCTGGAGGACTTCTGACGGACCCTGACCCAGCTTCCTGGACGTGTCAACACAATCCCAAATACAGGAAGTCCTGAATGAGGCGCCGGCTCTGACGGGACCCACCTGCTCCCTCTGAGCCCGGATGGTTTGCTCCTTCTCCTGCAGCTTCCTGCTCAGCTCCTGCTGCTCCTCCACCAGCGACTGCACCTGGCTCAGCTCCTTCAGCAGCTGGAGGAGGAAGAGGAGGAGGTTAGGGATCCACTCATGTCAGTAAAACACGTTTAAGATGATTTGGTGCACCTGATTCTTCTCAGATTCGTGTTCAGATTTTATTTCCTGCAGCTTGGACTCCCACTTTCTGTCCTGAAACAACAGAATCTTTCAGATGAGGTTCATCTACATTTTGCAGCAGCTGCTCCTCTCCTCACAGACCTGTTTCTTCATCTGAAGCTCCAGCTTCTGGATGGCTTGGAGATGCATCTCTTGGTACCGGTCCACGTCTCTCTCTGGCTCTCTCACAGGGCTGGGGGTCTTCGTCCTGGACGGCTGACTCACTTCCTGTGGATGAAAACAACGTGTGACATCATTAAGACTCCCTCAGCGTAAAAAGGTAGAGGAAGGCGATCATCCGTACGCTGAGAGCCTGGAAGTTCTGGTTGCAGAGGAACTTGATCTCCCGGCGCATGCCGTCCCTGCTGTCCTCGATCATGCGGTCCATGCGTGCCATCTCCTCAGACTTGAAGCGGTCCAGCTCCCTCTGCAGCTCCCTGTGGAGGTGCTGCTGCTCCTTCTCCTTCAGTTATCGTCACACGACAGGTTCAATCCTCATGAATCACCATCAACCACCAAAGCAGGAGCTGGTGACGTTACCTCAGCGATCTTGGCCTGTAGATCCTGCTGCTGCTGCACGACCTGCTGCTTCAGGCTGCTGATCTCCTGTTTCAGACTCGCCATCTGAGACTTCTTCTCTTCGTCTGACTGCAGCTCTGAGGAGGACAAGCGGAGGTCATGATCGTCTCCGTGACTCTGGTTTGGACCTGAGATTGAAGCTTATGGGGACCTACGGGTCTGGAACTCGTCCGGATGCCGGCGCTGCAGGTGGTTCAGGAGGAAGGAGTTGTTCAGGAAGTATTTCTCACAATGCGGACACTGAAACAGAGAACGGAACAATCAGGTGTCAGCTACAGGTGATCGTTTAGAATCCAGTTTCCTCTTTTATTTTGAAAGGGTCAAGGTCCTCCATAGGGATCCAGCAGTTTAATACTAAATGAAACTTTTTTAGCAGACAGGAAGTGAGCTAGCGTTAGCCTTAGGAATGGGTACCTTTGACATTTGAATCGATTCGGTACTGATTCCCGGTACCTACGAATCGATACCGGTACTTAACGGTACCAATTTAGATACTTTTGAGTGTTTAATATTTTATTTCTCTTTTATAATTAAATATTTATTTTTCTCAATATATAACCATATTTGATAAATATCACGATAAATAACATACAACTTTGTATTTTAACATCGTCCTTGTAGTTTTATAAGCTGATAAATAAACTGAAGCAAACATCTTTACTGTGAACTAAATTTACTGTGTATCTTCATTCCTTTTGCCGTCTTTTTTCATTTGATTTTTCCTACTGGGAAGTTAGAATTTCAGAGGAGAAAGCGAACGCACCATTAGCTGATAACAACTGTGGCAATGGAAGCTAACATTTCAAGCTAACGTTATCTTGAACAGTTTATTTAGCTGCTGGAGCAGATTAAAACGATGATGCCTCACATTTAGATCGTTGTCGCTGGTTTCATCTTCACCCAATCACCCGTCGCATTTAGTAAAGTGAAGCCAAACTTTAGAGCGCGATCATGTTCTTCTAGTCAAAAATTCGGAGTTCCGAGGAGAAAGCGAACGCACCGTTAGCGAAACGGAAGCTAACATATCAAGCTAACGTTATCTTAAACATTTTATTTACCTACCAGAGCAGATTAAGATGAGGATGTCTCACTTAGATCGTTGTCGCTGGTTTCATCATCACCCAGTTACCCATCACATTTAGTGAAGTGGACCCAAGCTTTAGCGTGCGTTCTTTCTACCATGCTGCTCTGTTTACAACTGGCTCGCAGCGACCGACGACATAACGCTCTTGCTCATGCACAGCTGTCTAGGCAGGTTCTCGTTATGAAGGACGGGTACCGAAACTAGGCACCGTTTCAAATGACGTGAATCGGTGCTCGGTCGGTACTATGGAATTCGATCTGTACCTTAAAAAGTACCGAATTCGGTACCCATTGCTAGTTAGCCTTGCCTACAGCTAACGACCCACATCGGGAGATTGTAGCTGCAGAAGAAGTTCTTCAGTTAAAACATAATAAAGTAAACAAACAAACAAAATAAAATAAACAATAAAGATTTCAAGATGCAAAAATAGACTTTGCTCCTGACTAGCTGTTAGCCTATCAGTCCTGAAGGACGTGAACACCATTTCTCCACATTGAGGCTGTTCAGGAATCTACCTGGTTTAGTTCACTCAAACTCCAGACAAATCTTCAGCCTTGGACCAGTTTTTGGTTTTCCACAAAAGATCCTTCCTTGAACTCCCCGAAAGGTTCTAGAACTTTATTTCACCGTGAAACTTTTCTTAAGCCTCATATGAAACTTTACTGGGACTCACAATGACCCAGGAGCCCCGATAAAAGGCCAAACACAACAATGGAAAGACTGGTTGGCCGCGCCCACTCAGCCAGGGTATGAATATTAAAATGAGCTGCGTGCTGATTGGCTGGTCAACCCAATGGTTCCACGGCCGTGCCTGAAGCTAGAAAGTCGGTATGTTAGTTTAGCTTATTAACTCAATAGACAAGCTTTGGCTCTGTTGGTGCTCTTGCACCTGAGTCCAGCCTTCGTAAGTTAATCGTGTTCACATCTGGGTAATCTGAGTTTTCTGTGCTGAGCTGCTCGGCTTTTGTTTGGACCAGAGTCTCCAAAAGCAACATTTTGTTTATTAACTTTTAAGGAGAACACTTCTCCACAGACTTCTCCATGTCCTTTTCCCCGCTCATGTGCTCGGAAACATCCGCAATCCTGAGAAGGCTATGTGAACCAAACCTGGTTGCACAAGCCGACGCTACCAAGACCGGACCGAGCCAGGCCAGTAGGGAAGACGCCTTATCTGGCATTCATTCAAAGTCTGGATATTCGTAAAGCATGCTGGAATGTTACGTGTCTGCTCCGGTGTTCTTTGTTGCTTTTCTCTCATCCCACAAGGATGTTAGCAGTATCTCATGCTAGCATTAGCAGTGGCTTAAGCTAGTATAGCAGATGCTCATGCTAGCATTAGCAGTGGCTTAAGCTAGTATAGCAGTATCTCATGCTAGCATTAGCAGTGGCTTAGGCTAGTATAGAAGTTGCTCATGTTAGCATTAGCAGTGGCTTAAGCTAGTATAGCAGCATCTCATGCTAGCATTAGCAGTGGCTTAGGCTAGTATAGTAGTATCTCATGCTAGCATTAGCAGTATCTTGGGCTAGTATAGCAGTGTCTCATGCTAGCATTAGCAGTATCTTGGGCTAGTATAGCAGTAGCTCAAGCTAGCATTAGCAGTGGCATAGGCTAGTATAGCAGTATCTCATGCTAGCATTAGCAGTGGCTTAAGCTAGTATAGCAGTTGCTCATGCTAGCATTAGCAGTGGCTTAAGCTAGTATAGCAGTATCTCATGCTAGAATTAGCAGTGGCTTAAGCTAGTATAGCAGTATCTCATGCTAGCATTAGCAGTGGCTTAAGCTAGTATAGCAGTATCTCATGCTAGCATTAGCAGTGGCTTCAGCTAGTATAGCAGTATCTCATGCTAGCATTAGCAGTGGCTTAAGCAAGTATAGCAGTATCTCATGCTAGCATTAGCAGTGGCTTAAGCTAGTATAGCAGTATCTCATGCTAGCATTAGCAGTATCTTGGGCTAGTATAGCAGTAGCTCAAGCTAGCATTAGCAGTGGCATAGGCTAGTATAGCAGTATCTCATGCTAGCATTAGCAGTGGCTTAAGCTAGTATAGCAGTTGCTCATGCTAGCATTAGCAGTGGCTTAAGCTAGTATAGCAGTATCTCATGCTAGAATTAGCAGTGGCTTAAGCTAGTATAGCAGTATCTCATGCTAGCATTAGCAGTGGCTTAAGCTAGTATAGCAGTATCTCATGCTAGCATTAGCAGTGGCTTCAGCTAGTATAGCAGTATCTCATGCTAGCATTAGCAGTGGCTTAAGCTAGTATAGCAGTATCTCATGCTAGCATTAGCAGTATCTTGGGTTAGTATAGCAGTATCTCATGCTAGCATTAGCAGTGGCGTAGGCTAGTATAGCAGTATCTCATGCTAGCATTAGCGGTGGCTAAGGCTAGCTTTCTTCTGCAGTTAGCATTCCTATGAACATGTTCACGTAGTGAGGCTGAGGTCAGCTGGGACATGCACGTTTAGGTTTTATTTTAACTTTATGATGAGTTAAACCAGCATTTCTCAGAAAGAAACGTTTCTCCGTGGCCTTTAAAGAAAGCAAGTCGGACACGGCTCTCACTTTTTTGTATGTCACATTAGACTTGCACAACAAGGTATATGTGGCATAAAGTTCCAGAACCCTTGAATGAGATGTGAGAATGAAGGAAAGTTGGAAACAATCCTGCAGTTTGTTCCTGGTCTTGTGCTGCAAGGTGGACCTGGGTAGAACTTCCTGTTTAAAACTCTCACAGATCCTTTTTCTGGGATAATAAACAACCTGCTTCCTGAAGAAAATCACAACCAAGACTTAGACGTGACTCTGATATTCTCCCTGCAGCAGAAAGCACCACACACACACACACACACACACACACACATCACACGCTGCATTTAACACTGCCACTCGCTGCATCTGGGACTTCCTTCAGCTTCTATCTAAACGCTGCTGCTGATATCTGGCTGCTCCGTGTGGAAGCCGCAGTCTAAAAGCAGGCCCTGTGATACAGAGGACATCAGGATTGGAGGTCAGTAGAAACGTGATCAACAACAACACAAAGGAAAGGTAACAAGCACGCGGTCTCCCTATCAATTATTGAACCAGCTGTTAACTGAGCTCGTGTCTCACACCTAACAACCACACTCTGTCATGAAACACTATAGCTGTCGCCTTGGCAACCACATGCTCAGGTCACACTCAAACATCACAAGATTCCTGGTTCAAACTGAGCGTGAGACCCAAAAGGACAGATTTAAATGTCTTTAAAGGGACAGACGCAGGAGGAGCGGGCAGGCTTTTGTCCTCTTCTTCAGATTTTCTCCATCTGACAGAAACTAAACCTGCTGCTTTTCTAACAAAGAAATTAAAGCTCTTTTCATTGACGTTGGGAGCGATGCATACATTTCAGAGACAATGATGGAGTGAGGCCCAGAGGAGGGTGGAATGGTGGTATGTTAAAGAAAGAGAACCTTGTGACTGCTGCTGATCCGCGGTGCGAACAGCGACTGCTGGGTGCGGATCACCTTCCTTCTGTGCTTCAGCTCAGCCGTCAGCTCCTTCATCTTCTCCTCCTGCTTCCTGCTCTGAGCCTGCAGCTGTTCCCGCTCCAGGCTGGCCGCCACCAGCCGCTCTTCTGCCGCTCGCAGGTTCAAGCTGAGGAGGTCCTGGCAGTGCAGGAGCCACTCCACCATCAGCTGAGACAGCTGCAGGAGCTTAACTAGAGCCGGGTCCACGGGGCTCTGGCACCGCTGGCACCGCTCCCCATCCAAGCTACAGAAAGTCACGGTGCTGATGTGCTCCTGGAGGGCGTCCACATCCAGCTGGCTCATCACCAGTTCAATGTCCACGGCGTTGATGCGCCGCCAGTCCACGCTCTCCCGTCGAGGCCGGAACTTGAAAGGGAGGAAAGTGGAGGCTCCGCTGGACGGAGTCATGCTTGGTGCTGATGCGGCGTGGCTGGTCGGGGAGTTCAGGACCGAGGGGATCCCGTCTGAGGAGTGAGTCCCCTGGGTGAGGCTGCTGTAGGGGTAGTAGGCTCCATTGTGAAACGGCTGCAACAAAAACCAGAAGGAAGAGCATCAAGTGGCATTCTGTCCTACAGACACCATGCTGCTACGGCTCCGGGCTCCATCCAGCTCCGCTCTGCTTACCATCCTCCACCGGCTTCGCTCCGGTTCCGCCCCCTCAGAGGCAGGGCGTCCAGCGGGTTACCAAGGAGACGGAGACCAGCGTCCCAGCGGAGACGAATGTTATCAAAACACCGCAGACACCTAGCAAACGTCAGAGCGGGGATTAGCTCTAAAACAGCCCGATTTATCTACTAATACCTCACATAGAGCAAGATAAAAATATAATTTAAAGACAACTTTAAAGACCTAACAGCGCGTGAGCTTGTTTGGCAAACGCAGTAGCTAACAGCCGCTAACTTCGGGGTTTCTACGAGTATTTTCAGGTTTTTATGCCTGTTTTAGATTTAAACTACAGCAAACAAGCTTCAACTCGTCTTAGCCGCAGCAGATGTGACTCAAAGAGCTGCGCGTGAACCCCCCCCCCCCCCCAAAAAAAAACACCCCATAAAACACAACCCTAAAGACAGGTTTATAATCCCTTCATGTCTGCCGAGCTAACGGACATCAAACGGCACTTTAAACAGAACAGTTCAAACAGTAAAAAACGTCACTAACGACGTTGAAAAGTAGTTAATACGATTAGAACGAACCAGAAATCACAAAATAAACTTACAAAATCAGTCGTATTAGTTAAAGTCCAGTCGTTTTAAAAGTTTTCTATCCACGATACCCCAGGCGGTTTGTGGGTGACGTAGCTGCTGGGCTCCACATTCCTAAATCTCTGCTCCAGAGAAGAAAAGAGCGCCAAGTTGGGACAACAACTACACAAGTTCCGGTTAACACTTTCAAAGTAAGACAATGAAAAAGCTTAAACCAGACTTGACACATTTTAATCCAATTTAATTATTTACTATACATTTTTAAACGATTAAGAACATTTAACTTTTGTCCAAACCGGGAATAACTAACGTGCGTTCATGTTTTGGGACAAGCAACGATAATCTTTTACTTTGAAATAAAATTAGTGTTTCCGGTAAAATTGGAATATATGTCGTGGATTGAAAAAAGATGGGGGAAGGGAGAAGCAGGATTTTCTTTTAAAATAAGGGGATTCAGAAAACAAGGGTGCCTACTTCCGTGGACGAAAACACAAACTAATGTTTTTTTAGAAGTTAGGTTAAGGAACACAAATTCCAAACATGAGTGGAAATGTACCACAGATGATTCTGAAAAAGTTGGACGGTGGAAAATCTACTTATGATGGCCTTTTCCTGCCAAAATAACGTTTCTGCTAATTAAAAAAATGTCTGACGTAATTTAGAGGTGTAGCATTTGACAAAGGAGTTCATATTGCTCACAGCTTTCAAGCCAGCATTTTAAGAAGATATGCTTTTTTAAACCAGTCCTGGCAGTTGAGCCATACAGAATGGTTGCCAGAGCAGTTTTACTCCGCAGCAATAAGGATGTGGGATTTTCATCCTATTGCGTGGTAGCCTTTATTATGTTTGTGTCGTGTTAGACCACATTCGAATGCACCAGAGTGGACAGGCAGGGAGAAAAGAGACAACAGGGCAAACAGGGAAAGAGAGAAAGGGGGGATTTGGGACAACAGGACACGACAAAGTGAGGTCATCATAAAAAGAAAACGTGTGTGTGTTAGAAGAGATGTTATGGCATTATGGTGGTTTTGGTCCACCCTGTATTATCGTGTGCATTTCAATATCTTGGGTCTGACTTACATACCCTTTCTGCCCTACATGGACAAACTCCAGAGTACATCAGCTTGTTGCATCGTAACACCTCCATCTGGTCCCTCAGGCCCTCTGACCAAGGCCTCTATGTGGTTCTTCACAACTAAAGGTGACAGAGCCTTTTCTCTTGTGGCTTCTGGACTCTATAATAACACACATTGAGGTCATCAGACTCAGTAGATTCCTTCAAGGGAGAGGAGAAGAGGTGAAAAAGTGTGCAAAGCAGATTGGAATCGGCAAAGAAAATGTCAGGTGTGATTAAAAGGTTTCATCAAAAATGAAAGGAAAGTTGTAGAAGACCATTGATGTTGTCCGGTTTAGAGACAGTGTCCACGAGTACAAGACAAGAAGCAGAACTGGAGGTTCTCCTTGGGACTCATTGGGATCAGCCAGGAACGAGTCCATCAGAAGGACAGCTGTTCAGATTATAAAGTCAGAGTCCAGGCTCATGGATTTGACATGTGGGACGATTACAGGTAGAAGGATGCTGAGGTTAGAGCCACCGGGCAAGAGGCTAAGAGGGAGAAATAAAAGGAGAGGTGAAAGAGGGCATGAAGTTATTGGTGTGAGGCCAAAGGACGTAGGAGACAGATGATTGGCTGTGATGGCCACTTAAGGGACTCACCCACCCACACAGAAATAAGATTATTTAAGCACAAGCTATAAACTTTCTTTTTCAAAGCACATTTGGTAATTTTGCTTGTTTTTAGCTCACCCTAGTATTTGTTATTAATTGTCTGTGGTCAAACCGAAAATGAAACCGATCTCCTCGCTGTGCGTTCGTCTTTTTAACGCCTAATCTAACTGCTGAAACAACTCCTCAGCCTTCATTGGTGTCTACAGGAATGTTCATCAAATCAGCGACACCAAAACTACAGTGCCAGGTGTGTCAGTTCCAAGTCCACCTGGTGGCGGCTCACCCCAACGAAGTTGCCGCATTCTGGCCACAGAGGGCGGAAGGGTCTGAATGACATTCCATTCACCCTGTAAAGTTTTATTTGAGCACATACTGGCTCAAGAAAATGATTTAAAAATATGAAAAAGTTGCATAGAATGTCTTTAAATCTGCTTTTGTTAGATGTTTTGTGTTTTCATGTCTTTTTATATCCAAGAAGCAACTTGGGGCAGCAGTAGCTCGTGGTAGAGTGGGTTACCTCATGATCGGGGGGTCATTGGTTCAATTCCAGCTCCTACCAGGGGTATTCTGCTGTTGTGTCCTTGGGCAAGACACTTCACCCATCTTGCCTGTGTTGGTGGTGGTCAGAGGGGTCAACGGTGCCAAATGCAAGCCTCGCCTCTGTCAGACCGCCCCAGGGTGGCTGTGGCTACAAAGTAGCTTACTATCACTAGCAGTGTGTGAATGTAAAAGTGCATGTAAGCATCTTTGAGTCTCCTAAGCAAATGCTACATATGTTTGATGATTTTTTTTGTATTTTTTAAATATTAAGATGTGCTATAACCAGGGGTGGACTGGCCTATCTGGCATTCTGGCAATGTGCCGGTGGGCCGCTTAGCCAAGTGGGCTGCTTGCCCAGCTTGGGCCGACACTACTCCACGGTTGGTGATCTGCAGAACATTAGCTACATGGTAATTTGAAGCTAACAGAGTTTTTCCAGGTGTTTATAGCAAGAAAAACGTTGTAGGGCGATGACGTAGGAGTTGTTTTACAGTGTTAGCATGTAGCTAATGTCCTGTTGATCTCCGCCCGTGGAGAATGAGCTGATCTGGAAGGCCAGGGCTCCCAGTCGCAGCGGTCTGGCCCTGCTTGTAATTTAACAGTCCCAGTCCATATTAGATCTCACATATGGCCTAGAGACGAGTCCGGGGGCGGCAACACCCCCCATCCCCACCGCTCTCCCAATGGGGAGGGCCAACTGAGGGCCGATGATTCGTAAAAATGCCAGGGCCGAATTTTGGTCCCAGTCCACCCCTGGCTATAACTCAAATTTTACTTATATACTACGTGTTATGAATGACTTTCAACTATTTCCACATAAAATTTTACCTATTTCTATTTTATCCTTCTTAAAAGTTGATTAGCTGTAATGACTTGGGTCGAATACAACAGTTAATCAGTTTTAGTTAAACTTATAATGATTTATCAAGAGTTTTTTTAGTGTTTGTTATCAATTATCATTAAAATTAGGTTGACTTCCAAATGGCAATGAGTCGTAGACATAAAAGGATGATTTAATTCATACCTAATGGTGCATGCGTGAGATATGTTCCTAGACAAACATGGAGTTGATGATGGATTTTTGAAAAGATCATGCATGATCAGTTCGCACCTGGTTTTTAAAAACTCGATCTCAGTTCCTGGACAGCTACAGCCATTCTCATGTCTGGTAAGGATGGTTTAGCTGTGGTGGCCATCTTAAATTGGGTTGACTCTAAAAAGTCCGGCGACGACAAACTGACAGTTTCACTCAATCTAAGATTAGAAGTGACAGGACATGTTTTGAAATGATTTCCATAATTGTTGCAACAACCCTCACAATTCCACCAAACCAACACTAGAGGTCAGTAGAGGTCTGATCAGACTGAATTCAGCCTTGGGTGAAGGAGTGATGGTGTCAGCTGATGGAGAGCAGCTGCAGGAGGCGACAGAGTTCCTGTTTTAACATGGGAGGAAAAAAACGACAGAAAAGATCACAGAAACTCTTCCTCTTTGGATGTTTCCTGCATAACACTAAGCATGAATTGACATGCATAGCAGCGCTGGTGCTGAAGCAGCACCTTTCTTCCTATGAAACAAGTACATCACTTTGCGTTGAACTCCTCATCTGAGTCCCAGTGCTGACAGAGGCTGACTGTATGTCATCTCTGTCGATCAGTTCCCAAACGGCTTCAGCCAGCTTCTGATGAATCGAGATTATAATTCCTGTGGACAGGGTGTGTGACTGTCAGCATAGCCCGAGGCGATCGGGGCGGACTCTTCTCTCAGGCCAGGTAGACAGGCCCCTCTCACCCTGTGGCATCCCAGTGGAGGAGGAAGTTCAGATCCAGGACAGGCATCACATCAGAAGGATGTTTTTTTCCTCCTCATCTCATTCCTTCTCCTCCTTTAGTCCTCAGACCAGTTACGGTGCTAACTCGAAAAAAAATTCAGTTTTTTCTCCTTTTTTGAGAAGTTTACCAGAGCGAGACGTGCACACGGCAGAGGAGTTGCAATGTTGCATTAGTCATGCGGTAAAAAAGAACAGGGGCATGCAGAGGAAGAGGAGCAGACCTCTTGAGATGAGTAAGCACAGCCCTACATTCAATTTAGTGCTTGATTTATGAGTTCATTTCCTGCACCAAGTTCTCAGTGGGGGTGAGGTGGTATATCTTCCCACTATAGGTAGCTGTGGCTCCACTTCCCAATCCCCCAGGGATCGGCTCTCACCGCCGCAGGCCTTACCGGGACTATAAATAATGGCTTCTGTAACAAGTACACATTGAACACAAGGAGGAGGAAGCCCCAACGTCTTTATTCATGAAGGAGGTTCTTATCTGATGCTGTGGACCAGACACATCCAGACCATGTTGCATACTAAAATACTTTGTACAGTTGTGCTCACTGTATCTCTAATGAGATTAGATTTACAAGGAGAACACAATCAAGTCCATTAATTATTAACTTTTTGAAAAGTTTAGGGCAACAAAGACAATGGCGCCCCCAAGGGGTGGCCAGGGGTGGCCATGGTCACCCATAGAAAACTGCTGGCCCTCCTAGCAAAAGCTGGTGTTAATAAATCATACTAATGTTCACTCAAACCATAGATTGATCTTTTATATTCAAGACATAATTGTAAAACAAAATAAAAATAATACAATGAATAAAGAAATAATCAGAATTTAAAAAAACACATGTTTCTGCTACTTACCATTTAAAAAAAGTTTTAATCTCCATAGTTTTTTGTGAACACAGCAACAGGTCAATTAAACCAAAACATTTTTTTTAAATAAAATTTGAAATAAAATTTTAAATAACTGAAAAGTATTTTTCTGAAATGTTTGTGTTTGTAAAATTTAACAGCGACAACGGAACTGATGGCATCACTGATGGCATTTTCAGCAATGGCTGAAGGTG